CAGAGGAAGAAGGAGGAGGAAAATAAATTTCAAGGATCCACATGGTTCACAGTTTTCCTGAGCCCCCTCTTCTTCTCCATCCTGGGTTTTCCGTCATGGCTTCTCCCTGATGTGGGCTATGTCTGGGTGACTTTGGCCACTAGAGAAGGGACACCCAGGTCCGCCTGATGCCAGAAACCACCTTTCTCCTGGGGATTTCTGTCTCAGTGTTCTTCCCACCTCAATCAGCATCACTTCTCCTTCACACCTTGAGAGCTTGAAAGGAGAGGTGCATACAGGATTAGGGGGAGACAGGAACATGCATGAAACCATTGGGCCTCCCAGTGGAGTGCCAGGGTGCTGAGCAGCCAGAGGTGTCTGGATCCCACCATTTCCTAGTGAGGGACCTCAGCTTCCTTGTCTGTAGAATGAGATGATGGCCCCGTTCTACCTCTCTCAGTGTTGTGAAACGCCACTTTACATGCTTGTAGAAGCGCTGGGAGAACTGTGAGGCACCATACAGATGTTAGCTCTGAAACTCTGAGCCAGCCTGGGCCTGCCTCCACTTCTGCTTCAACAGGTACAGGAAGATTACAGGGGGCTGGAGCACGAGTGTCCCTTCCAGGGAGGTTGCAGTCTGGTTGACATCAGAGGAGGAGGATCTGTCAGGGCCCCAAACCGAAAAACAAAACATTACCATCAAGTTCATTTCAATTTGGGCTGGCCCCACATGTGTCAGACTGCTCCATGGGATGTTGAATGGCTGTTCAATCTTACTGCCAGATCTTTCTGGCATGACTGGGTAGATTCAAGCCAACAATTCTTTGATTAATAGCCATGAGTGAACTGTTTGTGCCACCTAGGGAACCTCTGTCAGGACCCAAAAACACAAAAAACTAGACCTACCACCATAAAGTTGATTCCTAACGCAAAACAACCCTGTGTAGGGTTTCGAGACTGTAAATCTATATGGGAGCAGACAGCCACATCTGGTGGGTTTAACTGCCAACCTTGTGGTTAGCAGTCCAGTGCTTAACCCACAGTACCATGGGGGCTCCTCTCTATCAGGGCTGTCATTTCCCACCCTCTCTTAGAGGTGGGTGGTCCTGTGATTTATCAGTGCCCCCACCCCCGGTGCCAGCAGGGAGTGGAGATACTCAGAGTGATGGATGTGACTTGGCTAGTGCTTTGGAAATTCTTAGACCTAGGTGATCACTGAGGGGATCATGGAGGGGGTCATCCGGAGCCTGAGTGACCAGGAGGCTCCCAGAGTCCCCTTCCAACTGGTGGGGAGGGTGGGGAGGAGTTAAATGGCAGCTCTCTGAACACTCAGTGACATATGCATGACATTTGGGGAGGGGAGCTTGGAGCTCAGGCCCAGAATCTGACCCCCAACCCCAGCACTGGGCACCTACAGGGTGACCTTTAGGTGGTACCAAGTTGGGCCTAGATTGGGCCATAAGCAATTTATATGAAATTGTGTTGTTTCCCATCAACTCCCCACGTCTTCCAAGCACAGGACTTGTACCTGGTGGGTGGTATGAATGTGAGTAAGTATGTGGAAAGAATCAGTGAGTGAAGTACATGGAGGCTTTCAGACCCTGATGACCTGGGGGGCCATGCAGACTCTTCCAGCCTCTCTTTCTGCTACTCCCAGCAGAACTCAAGTTTCCTGCCCCAGGTGACTCGCTGGGCCTTTCCACACCTCTTGTGCAGGACCCTGTGCCTGGAAGACTCTTCACCCTCCTTGGTCAGTTGGAGAACTCACCCTTCTGAACTCCCATCAGAGCCGCCACCTCCCCTGAGAAGCTCTCCCAGATTTCTCCAGACAGAGGGGACCTTTCTGGGCTGTGGGGGCACCCGGTATCCACTTCTATTTGAAGCTGACCACCTCCTTGTCAGTATGTGGCTGTCATCACAACACCCAAGTCGTGAGCTCCTGGGAACAGAGATACTTGCTCTGTGCCTGGATCCCCAGTCCCTGTGAATGAAAGGATGGATGGATGAGTGAGCAAGTGAAGAAGGAAGGAGACACGAGGAGCTGCAGGATGGGGGAATGAAGGGCATGTCAGAGGAGAGGACAGCCTTGACCAGGACTAAAGGGGCAGAGTAGGAGGGAGGTCTGGTGAGGAGCTGCAGAGGGGGTGGGGGAGTGGAGGGCATGTCATAGGGAGGGCTCACAGGACCCCACCATCACTGAGTCAGTTCTGATTCATAGGGACCAGATGAAGGGTTTCTGAGACAGTCAATCTGTACATTGTCCCGAGGAGTGACTGGTGGGTTTCAGCTACTGACCTTGCAGTTAGCAGTCCAGTGCTTAAACTTCAGCACCATCAGGCCACCTTTTTCCTATAAATCTTGTAATTCCATGATCCAGGGGACCACAGAGTGGACAGTCCATGGGGAGTGAATTCAACTCCCCTCACCACCCCCTAAGAGACTGAGGGAACTCCCCTGAAAACTTCTCCCCTGCTGCTTCTGTCTCCCAGGGATCTGGGGTGCCGTCTCATGGACTCCTCCAGGTCCTCCTCTTTCCCCCACCTTGCCCCCTGGCCTCTGGGCCCTGTGCCCCCTCCCTTACCTCCTCCACCTTTGGAGGACAGAGATCATTTGCCCAACTCATGTCATTCATTAGACCTGGAGGCTGTTACTGAGGTAGACAGAAGCAGCAGCCCTGTTCCTCATTGCCACTTGCACAGTGGTCTCCTTTTCTCATCCTTGGAGTCTTTTGATTCATAAAGATCAGCATTCTCCTTTCTGAAGTGAATCTTGGAAAGAAACATCCCCCTCCCTCTGGAAACCCAAGGCACTTCCCAGCTATGAGAGCCTGGGGGGCTGGTGAGGAACATGCTTCTCTGGACTCTCGGTTTCCTAGCGGGATGAATTCCCATAGATGCACCAGTGTGTATTTAGATACTGTCCTAAATTAAACTCACCTCGGCCTCGGAGGGGGAGGGGGCTGGGGGCGCAGCTGTTCAAGAAGGTGTTGGAGGGACTGTGAAGATGGAGCTGTATATATGCTTGGTATGCAGTGGGTGCTCATATGTCTTTCCTGAGCTGGTGGGGGGGAGAGTATGTACACGTGCATCCATATTCCACCTTAAAAGATTTTGCCTTGAAGGTTTTTAGTGTGTGTGTGTGTGTGTGTGTGTGTGTGTGTGCACACGCGCGCACGCATGCTCGGCAACTCATAGCAACCCTTATAGGGTTTCCATGGAGTAGCTGGTGAGTTTGAACTACCAACCGTCTGGTTAGTAGTCCAGTGCTTATGCTACAGCAGTGGGGTGGGGGAGTAGAATTCTATGGGAGATATGGCGAGAGAGCCCCTAGTGGACACATTTCATTTAATAAGTGTGCCTGGCACAGGCTGTGTTGGGGGGAGGCTGGAGGAGGTGAAGTAGCCAACTGTGGAGAGATTCATGACAAGGGAGAGAAGTGAACAGGTCCCAAATACAGCTAGGTGCCAAGCACTGGTCCTGTAATTCCCCTAGTTACTCGGAATTGAGGTTGCCCAGTTTTGGCAGATCAGAAACCAGAAACACAGAGAGATGGAATAACTTGCCCCAAGGCAACACAGCTGGTAGGTAGCATAGTTAGGATCCAAACCCAGGTCTGCCTGATGCTGGAGCCCTAGGTCAGATGCCTCAGGCTCTCAAGGAGGTGCTGGAGGAATCTGGGGTAGGCAGGTGGTTCCAGGACAGGCCCCCACGACTCCTGCCTCTAACTCGGAGTATGGGGATGGAGGGCTCAACCTTCTGGACCACCCCAGGCCCACAGCCACCTCAATTTTCACATGAACCCACTAATTGACTAGAACTGTTTCTCCTGCAAACTACATACACTTTCCACCCCTGGAGCCCTTCTGGCCCAGAGTCCAAGCTCAAACCACCACACTCCATGGAAGTCTGCTGCAAGTTGAAAGGCACTCTTCAAGATTTGGCCTAAATCCCTCAGTGCCACAGGGCCCTGCAGACCCACCCAGATCCTCCAAACTGAGAAAGTCACACACTTTTCAGACCCTGTGACCCTACCCCCAACACCCTTAGTCCCCAGACTGCCTGCCTACCAGATGGCCTTGAAGTCATGGGCTCAAATTCTAGCTCTGACAGTTTTAGCTGGTGATCTTGGATCATAGCTCCTTGAGCCTCCATTTTCTCATCTGCAGCAAGGGGCTGGTAATTCCTACCTCACAGCCTTGTGGGAGGACGGAAAGAGATCTTGTCTACACAGTGCCTGACACGTAGTAGCTACTCAGTAAATAGCCCCTACTTTAATCAACAAGGAGCTCTGGTAGCGTAGTGGTTATGAATCAGGCTGCGAACCTTAAGGTCAGCATTTCAAAACTACCAGCTGTTGATTTTATGTAGATCCTCACTAGTGGCAACTCCGTATGTGTACACAGTAGAACTGCTCTGTAGGTTTCATTTGACTGTAAGCTTTCTAGAAGCAGGCCTTTCTTCAATAGCATCATTTGGTGGGTCCGAGTCACAAATCTTTAGATTGTTTTTGTTGTTAAGTGTCTTCAAGTCAGTTCCAACCTATAGTGACCCTGTATAGGATTTCTCAGGAGTGGCTAGTAAGCTTGAACTGCTGACTTTGCAGTGCAAGCCAAACTTGTAGGCCAGTGCAATTAACCGGCAGTACCACACCAGCATTTGTTGTTGTTTAGTACTGTCAAGTCGGTTCCGACCCATAGCGACCCTGTATAGAGTTTCTGAGGAGCAGTTGGTAAGCTTGAATGGCCAATTTGTGGTTCAGATGAATTTGCACCACACCAGGACTAGGTGTGTGCACATGGGTTGCAGTACCCAGGGACCTTCAAACCCTGACAGCTCTTCTTAATGACCCCTACCTGCCTCTTTCCTTACCCACAAGCCCATATGGACCCTGCTCACCCCCAAGACCTTCCACCTTTCCCTGACCACCTCTCCTTACTCCCCAACCCTACACCTCCATGAATCTCAGACTGGGTGCCCTGCCCCCAGCTCAGCGTCCTCACTGACTCAGCCCCTACCTTGCAGGCTCTCCAGGTGGCCAGGCAGTTCCTTCTGCAGCAGGCCTCAGGCCTAAGCTCCCCCGGGAACAATGACAGCAAGCAGTCAGCTTCTGCCGTTCAGGTGAGGAGGGCACCCCATGGGCTGGGGCTGGGCTGGGGCCAGGTCTGGAGGGTGGGCTTGGCACAGAGAGAGGGGAGGGCCAGTGGGAGAGCTGTTCTAGCCAGCCTCCAATGCCAAAACCGTGGGCCAACTTCCAGAAGGAACTACAGTCACTGCAGGGGTGGGCTGAAGAAACGTCCACTTTCTCGCTTCTACCTGATCCCAGGCTCCCTCTAGTTCACTTTTCCCCCACCAGCCACTTTGTCTCTGTCTTCAGCCCTGCCTATCTCTCTCAACCTCTTTCCTTCTGCTAGCCTCTCCCTTCTGGGTCTCAATCACTTCTTGTCTATCAGTTTCTCTGTCCCTGTGAGTTACTCACTCTGTCTGTCCCTCTCTCTCCCCCAGTCTCCAGCTCACCCCTCCCAGGCTGATCAGTTGCTGTTGTCCCCTTGCCTCCGCCTTCCCTTATCTCTGCCCCAGTCTCGCTGTGCTTCCTGTCTCTCCATGTCTCGTCTCTCTGTCTCTTTTGTTTTCTTTTGCACAATCTGCCCTTTTTCCCCCTCTCCCTTCCTCCCAGCTTGCTGGCCCATCTGGCTGATTGGGGGAGGGGAGATCTGTAGGGGACGCGTGGGGAGGGAGTCGGGCCTTCTGTTTACCTTTTGTGTCACAAAGAACTTGGGAGAATTGCAGTCTGAGTCCAGGATGGGTCACTACTGGGGCAGCCTGCTCCCCTCCCCCTGAGCCCAACAGCCCTGCTTCCTTGTCTTTCTCTAGACCTGAGTGGGGGGTGGGCACCCCTCAGCTCAGGGGAGGCTTGGAACTGGGTAGAGGATTAAGCGGGGCTTTGAAAGAAACTTTACCTAAGAAAGGAAGGGTGAGCCTGCCCCTGAGTTGGAGATGCTCTACAAGTCTGGGGCTTGGTGGGGACTGGGGTAGGGTGCTGAAGGAAGTGAGGAGAAGGGCAGCAAGGGGTTTCCAAGTGCTCTGAGAAGGGCCCAGGCCTGGGCTTTGTCCTAGGGCGCTGCCAGTATATCTGGGGTCTTTGTCAAAGAACTTTGAAAGCGCTTTGAAAAAGTTCAAGGGGCTAGGCAGATATGAGGTGTTAGTAGTAGGACAAGTTTAAAAATCTGGAACCTAACGACCCAGCCCTTAAGAGGGAGGAGTTAGGCAAAGAGGGGGTGGGGCAGGGGAGAACAAAACCTGGGAAGTCAGTAACTGAAGGCGAAGGAGAAACTTCTCCCACCCTAAAGATGTAGAGTTTTGGGGTGCTGCTGTGGCACTGTAGGATCAGCACTGGACTGTTAACCACAAGGTTGGCAGTTCAAACCCACCAGCTGCTTCTCAGAAAACCTGTACAGGGTTGCTATGAGTCTGAACAACAACAGCAATGATATAGAAGATTCTTACTCCCCAGTGGGGTCAGGACTGGTCTCTTTGAATTGGGGACCTCACACACAATTCCTGAACCTGAAATGCTCCTGTCTTGAGTCCCTCTGCCCAGGCCCAGGTTAGCAATCCCTTTGAAGAACAGAGAAGGGGATGTTCCCTCAAATCAGAGCAATTGGAGTGACCAGGGTCCGACATTGGACCAGGGATAATGAGCCCACCACTGTCATTGAGTTAATTGTGACTCATAGGGTACAGTTGCTCCTTAGAGTTTCTGAGACTATAAACCTTTATGGGAGCAGATAGTCTCATCTTTCTCCTTCAGAGCAACTGGTGGGTTTCAACCACCGACCTTGCAGTTAGCAGCTCAACGCTTAACCCACAGCACCACCAGGGCTCCTCAGTAGAAGGGACAGGAGCTCTGAAATAAAGAGAAGTCAGTCTCTGGAATCTTCCTTAGGAGACCCCCTGAAAAGGAGGGAGATCACTGAACAGTTTAAGCAAGGTTTTGGGGTCAGAGGAACAGATAAAATGCCTCCTAACTTCCCAGTAACTGATTGACCAATTTGTTCAACAAATAAACTTACTGAACACATCCTGTAAGAACAGCTAGCATCTACAAAGTGCTTACCATCCGCAGAAACCGTATGCTTTACATTATTAAGTGCTGTGTAGTCAGTTCTGACTCATATCGACCCTGTATAGGGTTTCTGAGGAGCAGCTGGTGAGCTTGAACCACCAACCTTGTGGTTCAAACCGACCTTGCTGTTCAACATATTAACCCGCAGTGCCACCTTCTCATTTTATCCTCACAGTCCTATGGGGGTGGGGGGGGGGTGGTCTTAGGTGACATGGAGCTGGCTCCCGCTCATAGCCACCTTAGGTATAGCAGAGTGAAACCTTGCCTAGGCTTGCGTCATACTCACAGTTGTTGTTGGAGCCATTGCTGCAGCCACGGGTCAGTCCATCTCATTGAGGGTCATCCTCTTTCTCATTGGCCCTCTATTATCAAATATTATCATTATCAAATATGATGTCCTTCTCTAGGCACTGCTCCCTCCTGATAACATGTTCACAGTAAGTCACCTGACGTCTCACCAGCCTCACATCTAAAGTGCTTCTTGATTACTAGTCCCATCTGGAAGATGATGAAATTGGGGCCCACAGAGGTTAAGTAACTTGTCCAAAGCCACACAGCTAACTAGGGGAAGAACAGGGTTTTTAATGCAAACAACTAGCTCCAGAGCTCACACCATTACCCCCTGAACTGTGAGGCTTCCTTTGTGTTCAGCACAGTAATGAACACCAGTAACCCCTCAGGTAGGTTCTTGGAGTCTCGGGGAGATGGGAGTTCTTGGGGCCATAGCTGAGCTTCTCTAGGACCCTGGAGCCCCATCTGTTGATCCCTTGTCCTTTTCCTCTAACGGTAGATACCTTCCTTGCCTCCTCATCCCTGCCCCCAACTTACTCTCCAAAGAGAAAGGAGTCTCTGTCCCAGAATGAGCCCCAGGGCCTAGGATGTGAGCTCAAGGCTGGTGGGGGGGATAGGGAAGAACCAGGGATTGGCTCCTCACCCCTGTAGAGAGTGTAGTTTGTTGATTTTGAACTTAAGTGAACTAGGTAATGAAAGGAAATCAGTGGCAGCCCCTTTCCCAGTGGCCCCTGTGGGTCACTGCTCGCCCTGCTCCTTAGAGGCAGGATTCTCTGCTTTTTTACCTCCTGACCTTACACCCTCCCCACACTTGCCCTAGAGTTAGCTTTCAGAAGAGTTTCTAAAGCCCTCTTAGGTCTCTACTCCAGCCCAGTGAGATTACCTGGTTTGTACCCAGGTGGGAAGACGTCAACCATGAAAAATCTCATAGGTATCCTGGAGTTGTGGGTTGGGGGGTAGCAAGGGACAGGCTTTTTAGCTCTGTCTGCTCCCCAGCCTTTATCTCATCTTCTTAGTCCCCATGAGACTTCCTCCTCTGGAATTTTTGGAAGTTCTTCCTGGTATCTCACCACTATCTTTCTTGCTTCAGCTTTAGCCCAGAACTAGTCTGAGGACTTCCTTCTGGTCATTTGCTGGGGGGTTAACCTAAACCAAGCTTCATTCTAGTCTTCCCACCCTACATTGTCCCTCAATTATTCCACCCAGGAACTCCAGATCCCATACATAGAGGGTGAGTTTGAGTCCTGGCACCAAATTGTATTTAACCCCTCCCCCTTCCCCCCCTCCCCAGATAAGCTTCTTCTGTGCAGATACCACCCCTGCTTTTTCTGGCCAACGTAGCAAACTGTATTTGTGGTGGGTGGAAGGCTGGGGGCCTGAGAGGGTCCCTGACAGAGGACTGGAGGCATCTCTGGGCAGTTAGCCCGGGGCTCCCACTGCTGGGGCTTTAGTAAGCATCTGGCTATCCTGGCCATGCTCCAAATGGTGACTCATGAGCCTTGCTGAGTTTACAGGCTGATGGGTGCTCATGCTGGCACAGCCCCGCCTGGTAAGGGGCCAGCAGGGATACCAGGGAAGTTCTACCTGGGTTCTCAGAGCCCCAGAGGGCTGAGGAGAGGTGGGTGGAGCTGGCTATCACATGTACACACAGGTACTCAGTCTACCCAGGTCATTGCAGCCAGGGATGGCAGAGGCCAGGGAGGTATTCCAAGGTCTTCTATCCCCTGCCACCAAGTAGAAAAGCCCCAAGGAAGGAAATGCCACATCCGTTGTTGCATGCCACTCTTGGTGACTCACGCGCCTGATGCCTAGAAAAATCCAGGTGTCTGGGCTCAGGTTTACCTCCTGACGGTCATGCCATCTCCTCTAATTTGGTTCTCACTGCTGATGAGAATGAATGATCAGTTCCTTCGGTTCTAAGTGACCCTTGCCAGACAGAGTCCTCTGGGGATCCCAACATGCCTAAGGCACAATGTAGGTGGTAATGTGGAGATGGGGAGGAAAGAGACTTGAAAAGAGAAGGAAAGGAGAATCTAAAATGTAAAATCTAAAATTAAAACAAAAAAATTGTTTTTACATTGGTCTAGAATGTAATACAGATTGATCACTTTTACTTACCAGATCTCTTGTGTCCCATGGTAGTGGGACAAGTTATTTCATCTCTCTGGACCTGTATCCTCATTGCTAAAATGCCAACAGTACGTTGCCCGTCACAAGGTTGCTGTGAAGATTCAATGAGAGAATCCCCGCAAAGAGCTTAGTACAGAGTCTGGCATGTAAATACCTTCAGCACAATGCATGTGTGCAGGCCTGTGGCCGGGCAAGTGTTCGGAGCCCAATTAGCAGATGGGGAAAGTCAAGTGTGGTAATTTTAGAAAATAGTGACTGCCAGGTATGAGACAGTAAATCATCCCGTGCCCTACACCCATCACTGCCTATCTGTTGAGAGACCCACGGGTCAGAGGCAGGAAGGGAGCTGGAAAAAAGACCATCCGTGATATTATGGAACACTCCAGCCCATCTTGCCACCTAAGCATTTAGACAGCAAAACCCAAGTTCTTTAAGCTACTGCCTCAAGGCAACTGACAACAGGTACAAGCTGGTGCTGCAGGGGACAGGTTAGGGAGAGTGACAACCGGAACACCCTTGCAGCCCAGCTTTTCAGAGAGCCCTTTTGGGATACAGTTACGAAAGTCTTCAGTCCTTTGGATTGTCCAGCTTCCACATCCTCTCTTTATCTTTTCTCAAAATTTGCTTTGGGCAGGGGAGTCTGTGTGGGACACATACATAGGCCTGGATTCAATCCCACCCTCTTTCATTTTGACAAGTTATTTTCACTCCTGATCTCAGGTTTCCTCATTGGTAGAAATGGGGTAAACATACTCCGAAGGGTTAATGCATATATCATTCCCCTACCCCCACACTCCACCTCCCAGCCTTGCTTAGAAGCCTCAGACTTTTATTCCCACAGTGTGACCATGACTAAAAGGCTAGGCTATTCCCCATCCCCACGTGTTTGGACAGCCGTTGGCTGTGGTTCTAGTGTGGGCTACAAGAGTTGGGATACTAGAACTTCTCTGATGTTTCTGGACTCACTGCCCTCTCTGGTTGCTCCTTCTGCCTGGGAATCCCCCAATGGGGGACTCACATCTTAGTCCTGTCCCTGCCAGGGAAAGGGAACAACCACAGGTGGGGCTGGTGCCAGGGGTACTGCCCCAGATATACATCCCTGTAGGGCACTCCTCCCTGACTGGGCCCTACCCCTCATCCCCATCCCTTCCTCCCTCCCAGCCCCAGGGCAGCAGACACTTTGTGGTGCCTACTGTCTGCCCAGCACTCCTTTATAGGGTGGAAGTGAGAGAGAGCTCAGAGAAAAGTCCTGTACTCATGGGCTCACAGAGAGGGGGCAGATGGCAGACAGCACCATCAGGGCACTTGTCCTGCTAACATGGGGACAGGATACCACCACAGCTTGGACCTCCCTGGTTATGGCTACACAAGCTTCTGTCTCAACCTTTGGCCTGCAGCTGGAAGGACCCAACCCATTGCAGGGGACAGGAAGCACCTTGACTTTTAGAATCCTGATGTTCCAGCTGGAAAGTGTCCCCTCTTGTAGACAGTTTCTGTGCTATGTATTTAAGAATATTGACACATCAGAGAGGGCAAGTGCCTTGCTTGAGTTCACACAACACATTCAGTGCAAAGTTAAGAACAGAAACTTGCCTTTCTAACTCCCTGCCTGTAATCCAACCCAGCTGTAGACAGCTACACACATACCCACACCACACAGACCCTAGGATGGCGATAGCAAGTACTTCCTGGGCTTCAGTTCTAAGCCACTGTGTGTGCCTTCTGGACAGGTGTGCTGGACTGTGTGGCCCACAACTGAGGTCCTTATACCATACAGGCCACTTTTAAATCCCTCCTGGCCAGGCTTGCCTTGCAGGTAGTGGTCTCAGAATAGACTCAGTGAGTCAGGAATGATTTGGTACCACCCTTCTCCTGGATGGGGGAGAACCCCTCCAAAGCCTGGGTTCTACTGACTGTCTGTCACTAGGGTCTAATCTTTCTGCACCAAGGATAATACATCCTCACTATAGTGAGAGCCAAGCCTTGTAAGAGCTTCCTCACGGGGCCCTAACGAGATAGGTACTGTAGCTACTTCCATTGTAAAGACAGAGAATAGGAGGTAAAGTCACTGGTCCAAAGACACAGCTAGTAAGTAAATAACAGAGCCAGGCTTGGGGCCCAGGCAGCCTCTGTGCCACACTGAGTATGGTGTCCTGGGTGGGTGCTTGGCCTGGGGGCGTGGTCCAGGGGAGCAGCCTAACAGGGCCAACTCCAGCAGGTGCCGGTGTCGGTGGCCATGATGTCGCCGCAGATGCTCACCCCCCAGCAGATGCAGCAGATCCTGTCGCCCCCACAGCTACAGGCCTTGCTCCAGCAGCAGCAAGCTCTCATGCTCCAGCAGGTGAGTCTGACCCAGGGCAGCAGGGGGGACAGAGGGAGGAGAGACCAGTGAGTTGGGCTCTGTCCCCCCTCATCTGCCTGGCCTCCCACCACCCTTCCTGTTTACTACCAACATCACTGGGCCCCAAGGCAGCTGCAGAAACCAGTTTGGTGCTCAGAGAGACAGTTTGGGCTGGACTGGTCTGCATTCCTCCAGAGTAACTGGGGAGGTCAGAGGGCAGGCTTCTCCCCACAGCAGCACCCCCGACAGCTCTCCCTGTGTTCTGGCCTCACCTCCATCTCTAGAAGCTTGGGGAAGAGCAAAGTACAGGAACACCCAGGCACCTTGTCACGACCTGTTCAAGAGACTCACCAAGAGACAGGGAGGGGTCAGAGCTGCAAGCTGGGGGTCCTGTTCCCTGTCTCTTCCCTCCCTGCCCTGTCCTGAAACTCCCCACCCCAGGCTTCATCCAGAGCCTAGGGAGAACAGAATTGGAGTTGCTTTGGGGCCCTTCATAACCACTCCCTCCCTCAACCTAGCTGCAAGAATATTACAAGAAGCAGCAAGAGCAGCTCCACTTACAACTCCTCACTCAGCAGCAGGCTGGAAAACAGCAACCCAAAGAGGTAAGAGGCTCTGTCAGCCTCCCCCCCACCCCCCACCTTGTAGGATGCTCTTTCCTTCCCCATCAGCTGCAGCCCCAGCGGGGCTGGAGTTCCTAAAGTGCTTAAGAGAGAATTGTCTTGTGGGAACAACAGAAAAATCCGGAAAAAGTTAGGGAAGTGGAAATCTCACTAAAATTTCTTCCTCTACCCTCACCCTGCTCATTCTTTCCCTCCTGGCATGGTACTGTTGGATTCATATGAGCAAGAAGGCTGAGCACTGTGTTGTCTCTTTGTGTGCATGTGGACATGCACGTGTGTGTCATCAACCACGTTTGTGAGCATCTAATGGTCCATACTCATGTCTAGCTGCCTTGTTTTTATGCCCACTTCTCAGCACCACAGCCCTCCACTTCTCTGCCTGGGAATCTTCCAGCCCCTCAGAACCCCTGCTCTCAACTCCTGCTGCATCTGACGCTATCCTGCCAACAACCATCCCTTCCCCTACCACACAGCTTTGTCCTTAGAACTCCCACACTCCTGCTTCATTGGGTCACAGTGCCCCCCTGGACTTCCATTCCAGGCCTTTTAGCACCCCTCACCAAACATGCTGCTGGCTAAACTGCCACCTCTTCTGGGAAGGTGGCCCTGATGAAGCCCAGTTCTCTTCCAAACTCCCTGGGCCTCCCTCTCTCCACTCTGGTAATTGTGGCATTATCTGCCAGTAAATCTCTAGGCCTGGTTTCTCTGTCTTGTCTTTTTATTGAGTAGTCAGCCCCCACCACCACCACCACCACCTCACCCCACCCCCAGGCCAGGCAGGCAGAGACCCGGGACATGTTTGGCTCCCGGGCTCAGCAAAGACTTGCTGACAGCCTGGCTTGTCAGAGCCTGTGTGAAGACCTGAATGGGGGGCGGGGAGAGAATGAGAGAAAGAGAGAGAATGAGATCGCCCGCCTGGGCATTGGTACAGTGATTGTTCTCTGAGCCGGCTTCCAGAGACCTGCTGATTTTCCAAAGTGCTGTCTGACTCCTCAGTTCTTATCTAAGGAGCAAGAAAGAGGAGCTGGAAGGGAGAAGGCCCCCTCCCCAGAGCAGGCGGGGGCACCCCGGGCATGTGGGGAAGGGTGCCTGCCAGGCGGGAGTGGCCCCCAGAGCCTGACAGACTCATCGATCATTGTGATGAGAGGGGCTACCCTGCACCCCCCACCCCCCAGGCGCTCACACAGCTGCCTTAGGGGCGCTGGCGCTGCTGGAGGAGGGTAGTGGGCGGGAGGGCGGGCTTCGTGCTGCGTGTGTGTCTGGGTCTGGCTGTGTGTGTTTGCGCACGTGCGTGTGTGTGTGCGTGCGTGCGTGCATGCGTACATGCGTACATGCGTGTGTTTACTGCGAGGAGGCATGCAGCCTTATGGAAGCTGGGCCGGGAGCAGAGAAGCTGCAGCTGCGGACTCCGCCACGGCTGCTCCGGGGGCAGACAGGCCCTGGGAGGGGGTGGCCGCAGGGTGGGGACCAGATGGCACTCCAGGGGCTGATGGCGCCCCTCTCTGCCCGCCCCCTCGGGCTCCCCACCAGGCTCTGGGGAACAAACAGCTGGCCTTCCAGCAGCAGCTCCTGCAGATGCAACAGTTGCAGCAACAACACCTGCTCAACCTGCAGAGGCAGGGACTGGTCAGCCTGCAGCCCAACCAGGCCTCGGGGCCCCTCCAGAACCTTCCGCAAGGTGAGAGGCCCTCGCCCCCTGTGCCTCCAGCCTAGCCCCACAGCCCTCCCTCGTACCTGCGGGCAGACAAGCCCTCCTCCCGGGGCGAGTGGGGTGGCTGTGTGCTTTTTTGGGACCCTGCCAGCTTCCTTCCCTCTCCTGTAGCAGCCGTGTGCCCGACGGACCTGCCCCAGCTGTGGAAGGGTGAGGGTGCCCCCGGGCAACCCGCCGAGGACAGCGTCAAGCAGGAGGGGCTGGACCTCACTGGCACAGCCGCCACCGCTACCTCGTTCACTGCGCCACCCAAGGTTTCCCCGCCCCTCTCCCACCACACCCTGCCCAATGGACAGCCCACTGTGCTCACGCCTCGGAGAGACAGGTGAGGGGCCCAGGCAGGGACAGACCTGGACCCAAAGGATAATACCTATAGGGGGGCGGGCGGTGGGGGGCGGGGAGTGGGGCACAGCTTTCAGGGACCTGGAGTGCTCCCTCTTGTCCAGGCCACACACCAAAAATGTGTGTGAGGTGAGTGCTGGACCTCTGGGGAGCCCATAGGGGAGGGGTGTGTGTGTGTGTGTGTGTGTGTGTGTGTGTGTGTGTCACTGACACACACCTGGGGTCTCTGGGTCCCTGCCTACCACCTCCTTCCTGCCCTTGCAGCTCCTCCCACGAGGAGACCCCCAGCTCCCACCCCCTCTATGGACACGGTGAGTGTAAATGGCCAGGCTGTGAGACGCTGTGTGAAGACCTGGGCCACTTTATCAAGTAGGTTATCACTCTCTTCTTCCCACCGCACCAGGGCCCCCCCACCACCCCAGCCTGCCACCTAGCCTAACCCCTGTTGGGCCTTCAGTCACCATCTGCCTCACTGTTTGCACCCCAGGGGCCCACCCCCCTCCCTAACCTACATCCCTGGGACCTGCAGTCCCCCACTTGTCCCCAGGCTGCCAGAGCAGAACAGGGAGGACAGATGCAAGCATTTGTTGTCTCCCCCCACCCCAGACTCCGTCTGAGAGTGATGGCCTAGTGACGGGGCCCTAGGCCGTTGGCCAGGCGGATGGCCAGCTGCCACAGCCGTGCCAGGCTCTGTCACTGACTGATTAACTCCGCTGTCTCCCAGACCCTTGCAGCATCAGGGTCAAACAAATTGTTTTCACGCTTCGTCAGAGGTTTACTTAATTAGTTCATTTGCAATTAGATCTCTCTGTAGCTGGGATTTTAGCAAAGACATCAAAGGAGGCTGAGGAGGAGGCAGCTTCCTCCTTTGCCCCTGTTTCCACCTCTTCCTTCTTTGTAAGTTCTCCTGGTCTGGCTGCATTTCAGCCCGTGGGTGGGGCTGGGGGAGGGGATTGGTGGGCTAGGGACTGCAGGGAAACCTGGGTCACTCTCTTCTCTCCATCCTTCTTCCTATGAAGACACCTCAACACAGAGCACGCCCTGGACGACCGGAGCACGGCCCAGTGCCGGGTCCAGATGCAGGTGGTGCAGCAGCTGGAGATCCAGGTGTGGCCCCGGGAGGATGCAGGGAGGATGATGTGGGCTCCACCCACTGGACCACCCACAACACTGACTGTCCAGGAGTGGTTGGGGGGCTCATGAGAGGGTTATGTGGTCAAAGCCACCATTGTATATATGCTTCCTAAGTCCCAATTAGGTCATGAGGTGAGGGCGAGTGAGCCACTGAGGTGACTGGAATGCACAAAGTCCCAAAAAAGGTTGGAGGTGTCTCTACTGAGAGGTCCAGAAGAGATTCGCTACCTAAATACACCAGCAAAAAGCAGTATTGGTCACTAAGTGTGTGCCATGCTGAATAACTCAGTCCTCAGTCATGGCTACTATTATTATACCCATTTTGTTGATGGAGAAAACTGAGGCACAGAGAGTTGAAGTAGTGAATGACAGTGCTGGAATTCAAATCCAGTCCAACCTCCTGTAACTAAGTACAAATACCGGAGACTACCCAGGACAGCTTGTCCATCTTTACCCATCTCCTTTTGGCACAGAGCTGAGTATACTGCCATGAGAGGGTAGTCATGGGAGACCTGAATGTGGGGGTAGGGGTGAGGCAGTCATCTGCTCCTCTGCCTTGTCCTTCAGCCAGGGAAGATGCAGTCACAGCTAAGTGTCATGGAATTAGGCAGGGTTCAGAGAAACAGCAACCATGGCCCTGCCTTCACGGGGAGGAAAAGGCAGGTGGTGCTGGTGGAAAGAAGTCTCCTGATATGTAGTGTTCCTAATGAGCTCTAGCCAGGGACACCCAGGGAGGACAGAGGGACAGAGGGAGGACCTTATGAACAGGTAGCCCTCAGATCTGGTGTTGAGGGGCCAGATGGGCTGAGAAGAGGCTGAGCCCTTCCAGGAGTAAGATGTAGAGGGACCAGGGATGTTCAGATGTGGAAGCTAGTGGTGGTGAGGCTAGGGGGCTTTCTAAGGAGAGTTGGATGTGGAGGAGGAAGAGGAGTGGGCCCCTAAAGTTAGTGGAGCCCAAGCTCACCTCCATCTCTCCGCAGCTCGCCAAGGAGAGTGAGCGGCTGCAAGCCATGATGGCCCACCTGCACATGCGGCCCTCTGAGCCCAAACCCTTTAGCCCACCGGTAAGTGACTGGCCCCTCCCAAGCCCCTTGGGACCCTGTCCCTTCAGCGCTGGTCTCAGCGCCATCCCTGTTGCTCACAGCTGAACCCGGCCCCCGGCTCCTCCTCATTCTCCAAGGTGACCGTCTCCGCAGCTGATTCCTTCCCAGATGGCCTCGTGCACCCCCCCACCTCAGCTGCAGCCCCTGTCACCCCCTTGAGGCCCCCTGGCCTTGGCTCTGCCTCCCTGCACAGTGGAGGTCCCACCCGACGGAGGAGCAGCAGCGACAAGTTCTGTTCCCCCATCTCCTCAGGTAAGTGCAGATGGGAGTGGCAGGAGTCTCAGGAAAAGATTGCTGCCCCCACTCTGGGGCTGGATCTCCATCCTTCTACCCCCCACCTTCCCTCTGCCTGTCTCCCCAGAGTTGGCCCAGAATCATGAGTTTTACAAGAACGCCGACGTCAGGCCCCCGTTCACCTATGCCTCCCTCATCCGCCAGGTGAGCCCTGTAAAAAGGAGCAGAGTGGGGGAGAATAGTGTACAGGTTGTACACCCCAGCCCTCCCTATACCCTCACCTCACCTCCCCAGGCTCTAGGGGGCTCCAGGGCCAGAGGATAGAGTCCTTTCTCCTATATTCACAGGTATCATGTGGTTTTCCTTTTGTTTTCTCAGCCCAGTCGGCCTGCTGGTCACACCGACATATCTCTAGGGGGGCACACACACACTCTGCCACTCATACCCACTGTGCCATTCACTTTCCCATGAGGACCGTTAGCCTGCTCCCCAACCACACACACACACACACACACACACACACACCTGCCTCTGTTCCCTCCTTTATGTGCATAATCCTGTGTCCTCAGTGCTGACCTAATAGTCATATCACACACATTTGGACACTGTCCTCTCTCTCTCGCTCTTGGGTACTGTCCCCCCCCCCCCAATACACACACACACAGTTTCATGTTTAAGGGTGCCTTTTTCCAGAATCAGGATAGCCTTCCCTTTCCAGGACAGCAGGCATTTGAAGTCATTTTCTCTCCAGATAAAAATGTCCACATGCTTCTTGCGCAAGTGCACAGCGCTGGGGGAGCATGTGTTCTGTTCAGCATGTGGCTGGGCAGTCACCAGCCAGGTCCCCTCAGGCGACACCAAGCACCCACACATTTCTGCAGCAGGTCTCTGCTCACAGAGTGGGTCGTTTGGAGGGGGCCAGCCAGGAGAGATTCTTGGTGGGGAGAACACAGGGCTGTGACCCTTCAAGCTGGGACTGAGGGTCTCTGCTTTGTCCTTACCCACAGGCCATCCTGGAAACCCCTGATAGGCAGCTGACCCTGAATGAGATCTATAACTGGTTCACCCGAATGTTCGCCTATTTCCGGAGAAACACTGCCACCTGGAAGGTGAGGCCCTCCCCTCTACCTGCCCCAGGCCCAGCCAGCCTTGGCCATTCACATCTTTTGAACATCAGTGCTGCCCAACAGCTGGCCCCCTTTGGGAGAGGTGGTTCTGCAGGCACCGCTGAACCCTAGTCCGTTGCTGCAGGGCTCCAACTGTTTTTTCCTCTCCAACTGCCTTTTCATGAACTTTCACTTCTAGCCTGGTGCTGTCTTCTTTCTGGGACAAAACCCTAGCCCCACCAAGTAGGGCTGAGCTAAATTCACAGGGACCCTGAGGCTGTAGATACATACATGTGCTGAAGCCCTGGAAGGTGGGAGAGGAAGTGCAGGCCAGGATGTGTGGCTGGACCAGGGCCTGTGTACCGTGCTCTGGGACACAAATACACGCACTCACACTCTCTCCCCCACTGCCATCAGTGGCAGGAAGATAATTGACTCCATCCAATTAGTCATTTCAGCACCTTCAGCCATAGGAGTTTTCCTGGGGGACCAGAAGCAGGAAAGGGAGGGGAGGCTAGAAAAATGGAACTCAAGAGTTATGGGCCAGGGCACTAAGCCATTTGTTTTTCTATAGCTAATATGCTATGTGTGTGTTTCTATTGGGTGAAAGAATTAGGACCTGTGCAGCAGCATGGGAAGGGGCTCTCTAAATTGGGGGAAGGAGGGAGTATTGGAGAAGGTTAGAACTGGGAGGGAGTCCTTATCTCTAACCTTGATTGGCTCTTGAGTCCCCCTGCTGGCCACTGTAGAAATGGCAGGTAATAGGACACCTGCCCTCATCCCACCAGCTTTCAACAAGTGTCAGTTGCTGAGTCCCCTCCCCACGGGTGCCCAGGACTACTGGGTGGGAGGTGACCTTCTGATAGAGCAGTGTGCTGGGTCCAGCAGGAGGGACTGCTCCATGACCCTGGGCATCCTCTCACGGAGTTCCCAAAGCCTGGGAGAGAGGCTGGTAGACTAGACAGTGGCTCTGATTGGCTGTGAGTGATATCATTTCCTGCCAACCACAGTCCTGTCTTCTTTCTAAACAAGCTGGGGCCTTCCTGAGGTCACCTGGTCTAGTCCCCAACTTCCAGACCAGTTTAGAAACCCGGTTTTAGAAACGACAGAGTCCTACACAAATGTAAATGGTTGTTGTGATTATATTTTATACTTTCCAAGCACATTTCCTTTATAAGGTGTTAAGTACCGTCCAGTTGATTCCAACTCATAATGGCCCTGTATAGCAGGGGTGTTGTTGTTAAGTGCTGTTGAGTTGATTCCAACCCATAGGGACTCTGAATAGGGTTTCCAAGGAGCAGCTGGTGAACTTGAACCACCGACCGACCTTGCAGTTCAAACAACTTTGCAGTCTGACGCATTAGCCCACAGCGCCACAGCAGGACTCCTATAGCAGGGGTGTTGTTGTTATGTGCTGTTGAGTTGATTCCAACCCATAGCGACCCTGTATACGGTTTCTGTGAGCTTGGACCGCTGACCTTGCCGTTCAAACGGCTTTGCAGTCTGGTATATTTACCCACAGCACCACACCAGGACTCCGTAGCATGGGATTCTACAAGAACATATAGCATCATTCACAGGCCATACAAAATTATCAGCTTAAAAATTAGCTAGCTGTATTTGGTCAAACATTTAATTAATTTGCCCCTCATGTGTGGTGTGGAGTCCTGGTGTCATGCTGTGAGTTAATGCGCCAGACTGCAAAGCTGTTTGAACTGCAAGGTCTGTGGTTCAAACTCATCATCTGCTCCTTAGAAACCCTATACAGGGTCACTATGGGTCGGAATCAACTTAACAGCACTTAACAACAGTGTATGGCGCTATAGGATCAGCACTGGACTGCAAACCACAAGGTCGGCAGTTCAAACCTGCCAGCTGCTCCTTGGAAACCCTATAGAGGGTTGCTATGAGCCAGAACCCATTCCACTGACACTTAACAACAACAGTGTGATGGCTAGAACTGTGCTTGCCTTGGTAGGACCAGGTGTGGCACTGAAGGATAAAACACTGGACCGTAAGGTCGGCTTGAACCGAAAGGTTAGTGGTTCAAATTTACCAGCCGCTCTTTGGAAACCCTTCATAAATAGAGTTGCTATGAGTCAGAACTGACTTAAGAACACATAACTTAACAACAAACATGACCTGCTGGCCAGATGGCCCCCAGCCCTGCTGTATAAGGTTTCTGAGGAGCAGCTGGTAGGTTTAAACCACTGACCTTGCGATCTAGTCTTCTATCCTGTAGTGCCATACCAGGACTCCCATGTCCTTTACTATTACATATTATTTTAATAATCACATGTTAATATTACGTATTAGTATAGGACCTCGTTTCCGTAACTTCCTCCTTGGGGGCAGAGTCCCCTCATCTCCTTCCTTCTTGGTCTCTTACTTGCATTACCCACTTCAGTGTCTGGGGCTTTCTGCAGCTCAGGAGGACTAGGTTTAGGTGATTGTCCTGAAACCTCTCAGTGACTCTATCCCCTATAGCCTAGCCCATACTGTCTTCCAGACTCCCAGCCACACTACCTCCTGTTCCTACCTTGCAGACTCCCAGCCATACTGCTTCCCGTTACTCCCTTCCACACTCCCATCCATATTACTTCCAATTACTATATTCCAGACTCCCAGCCATTACTACCGTCCCTACTTGACTTCCATACTACCTCCCATAACTGCCTCCCATTCTCCCACCCATACTTCCTCCCATTATTACCTTCCATACTCCCTTCTACTGGTTATCCCGTCATCTCAGTGGTGTGGTTCTCCCTTACAGTCCTTCACTTCCATCTCCTCTCACCTGGTCTGGTTCCAATAAGAGGCTGGGCTGTTTGGGTGGGGGGGAAAGTGAATAACCAAGCAGGTGACCTTCCCCAGTAACAGTGTCCAGCTGCTTTTTCACCCCCTTGAGGATTCTAGCACCTGTGTCCTCCGTATGATAGAGCAGAATCCATCTCAGCTTGAGGTCCACTTGGACCCTCAGGTTAATGCAGCCTTGCTTCACTCATGTTACTTGGGAGATGTGCCCTGTCAACACATCTTTCCCGTCCCCCCTGTGTCTGCCTCTTGAGGTGCCACCTCTTCCTCTCCTGAAGTATTTTTGACTCCTTCCCTCTCTCTTCCTTCCCCTTCCTGGCCTCCACCCTATGATGCTGTCCACTACAGACCAGGGCAGAAGGGTTGGGAGCAGGCATGGGCCAAGCCAGCTGCCGTGCATCCAGGGACAGAGCTGCCATCTGCCAAGCTGATGGGCCTCCCCAGCCCTCCACTGTGTCCATCCCCTCCCCAGGCCCGTGTTGTGGGCCCGTCCTTTTGTTTACGCAGCCCCCGCCAGACCCCTTAAATTGCCGTTAATGTTTCAGCGTAACGAATTAGTCTCTCATCACGAATCAGGCTTCGAAATGAGGGAAAAAAGCCCCAGTGAGGCCATCCTCGGAAATTGGGGTCATTCTCATTTGCAAAGCGGAGGATCGGAGCCCCGTAATGCGGGCAAATTTATTCCGAGGCAGGAGCCCCAGCGTGATTAGGCCCTTTGTAATTATCGCTCCAAGAGATTCCACTCCAGCCGCCCGCCTCCCTCGTGGATTAGCAAGCGAGTCAGAAAAATACACAGGATTTAATTAGAGGCAAATTAAAATTGGTAATGAAATCGGGCCAGTTGCAAGTGGCAAGAGTTGGAAGGGAGAGAGGGAGCGTGGATCTCCAGGGGCACAGGCTGCCCGCCCTGCCGCTTTCTTCCACGTTTAGAAATGTAAAGAGGAGACAAGGATGGGGATGTGGCAGGGGAGGCTGAGGGAGGACAGGTAACAGGGACAGGGATGGTGAGGGCTGGGGATGGGGGTAGGGGAGCGCAGGATAGAACTGGAGGAGGTGGTGGATTAGGGCCCTAGCCCATACTCCCACCAGGGAATTGGGCCAGCCCCACCCTCACCCAAGTGTGTCTCATAAACCAGGTGACCTCAATTCCTCAAGTTATCCTGCTAGGAGGAGGTGGGGGCCCACAAGGTGACTTTTCCTCTTTTCTCTCCTCTTCCTTCTGCTTGTTCATTTATTTCAGTAAGTATGAGGAGGCTTCAAAAAGTTTGTAGGAAATGGAATTAAAAGATAGTGGAATTTTCCCACGAATGACTTGAAGCCCCCTCATATGTGCTGGGCCTCTACTGTAAACCTTGATTTCTCAGTAGCTGTCTGCTTTGAGCCAAGGCCCCCAGACTCCCAAGGGGGTCTGTAAAGGACCGCGAGGGTCCTTGAGGGTCCGTGAGTGAAATCTTGTAAATCTTGTGTACCGCCAGCTCCCTGCTTTGGGATGGAGATGGAGTGCTCTCTTGTGCTGATCAGAAGTCCTGATGAACATGTGTCATTGATTAATCATGATGAGGAAACAAATTATTACTAATTAGATGTCGTTAAGTTGGTAGACTGTTTTCCAAATGTGGCAAGGAGAAGAGGGGGGCAGGCAGTAGCATGCGCTGGTGCTGGTGGTGGAGTGAAAGCTGGGAGGCCCTGGCTCCAAAGGCGGAAGAGGGGCCTTCTGCTCTGGCTGACTTCCTGTCAGCCGGGCCCCTTGGCCTGCTTAGTCCTGAACTACTGCTGCTGCTGGGAGGACCAAGGATTTCCCATATATATTCACCTGAGCAGAGGGGGCCCGAGAAGTCACCTCTGAGCATCCGTCCCTTCTTTGCTGCACCCCCAGAACGCTGTGCGTCACAACCTCAGCTTGCACAAGTGCTTTGTCCGCGTGGAGAATGTCAAGGGTGCTGTGTGGACCGTGGACGAGCGAGAGTATCAGAAGCGGAGACCGCCAAAGATGACGGGGTATGTGGGCCAGCCCTAGTGGTTCCACCCCCTGGATTCCCCCCAAGTTATACCATAGGTGCCACATCCCTGTCATTTTGGGAGGGTGAGGTGAGGGGAGAAAGGGCAGGGGTGCTCAGTGCGTGGGGAGAGGAGGTCAGAGTCTGGCAGTGATGGAGGATAGAAGGTGGACACATCTGTCTTGTCCTGTCTTCACTCCTGACGAAGGAGGAGGGGACCCAGGGGGACCTAGAACCAGAGGGCGAGAGATACAAAGTAGCCACGGGCAAAACTGGGATTCTGGCAGAGACCAGCCACTGGGACCACTGGTGAGCGGGCTGCCATTCCCACAGCCCACACTTTCCCCGCTCAGACAGGTGACAGCAGTCATCACAGGATGGCCTCACCTCTTTGTTTTCTACAGGAAGGAGGCCCAGAGAGGGCAAGGAGCTGGTGGGAGGCCACACAGCAGGCTCATAGCAGAGCTGGGCCAAGGACCTGGTCTCCGACCCCCTAGTCCTGTGCTTTCTGCTGTATGTAACACAGCATTTTAAATAGAAACTGCAGAACCCAGAGAGGGGCAAACTCTCTCTTGACTTCCTTCTAGCTGCAGTGTGACCTTCTCCCTACCCCTGGCAACACATTTGTGGGCAGAGAGGAAGAGAAAGTTTTGACGCCCCTTAGATGGATGTGTCCCCAGTTCTTTAAGCTCCTCCCCCAAGGCAGTTGTGGGTGTTGGGGCAGGGTGGGGGCCTGAAATGGGGGAGGGAACCTCTGTACTGGTAACCACACCAGATATTTTCATGCCTCATTTTAACTAGTTGCTGTTGAGTCAGCCCTGACTCATGGCAACCCCATCTGTGTCAGAGAGAGCTGACATACGTCAGTCATAGAGTTTTCATGGGCTGATTTCAGACATAGATTGCCAAGTCATTCTTCTGAGGCACCTCTGGATGGATTTGAACCTCCAACCTTTCAGTTAGCAGCCATGCCCACTAACTGTTTGCAGTACCCACAGACTCCTTCTGCCTCATTACCTACTTAGAATCAGGAGACCAGGGTTCCAATTGCACCTCTGCTTCTCATCAGTTGTGTGATCTTGGATCAGTTCTTTAACCTCTCCTAAACAAAACAAAAAACCCCAAAAACCCCACTGCTATTAAGTTGATTTGGACTCACAGAGATCCTATAGGCTAGAGCAGAACTGTTCCAAGATTGTAAATCTTTACAGGGGCAGACTGCCTCTTCATTTTCCCTCCGAGCAGTGAGTTCGTACTACTGACCTTTCTGTTAGCAGTTCAACACTTGACTCACTGTGCCACCAGGCTTCATAACCTCTCCTAGACTGTCCATTAGGGTAATTCCTTGGGTCATTACTTTTCCTGACCCAAATCTCCACCACAGCTCCATGCAGAAAATCCTATTGTGTGGAGATGGACTGAGCTCAAAATTATAAGAAAGTGTGGGTTTTACTAATAAGGCCCCCTCAAGGCTATGGCTCAGGCCTTGCTGAATGTGGAAGAAGGCTGTTGGGAGCCACACAGTGTGAAGACCGAGCTGGGGAGGGATCCCAGGGCGCCCACTGTAACTAGATGCACCTGGAAGAAGGAAGTTACTATCGATGATGATGGAATAAGGCCAAGCATGCCCAAGGCAGGAGTCTCACAGAACTGTGGATGGTGTCTGGGCCTACTCTGGCCTCACAGGTCATTGGGAGGCACAAAGATAACAAATGGGACAGTAGCAGTGGGTATAGCCAGTCCAGAGATGGGAGTGAGGAGTCAGAGGCTGTGAGCCACTGCTTGTCTTCTGTCTCCCTCAGGAGCCCTACCCTGGTGAAGAACATGATCTCGGGCCTCAGTTATGGAGCACTTAATGCCAGCTACCAGGTGACAGGCCTTCAGAGCCTACCCACCCCTCTGTTTCCTGCCTCCTTGCTTTCCCTCCAACACATGCTGGCCTTCTAGAATAGTCCTTCCCCAGCCTCCCTGGCAGAGGGCCCATTGGAGGAGGGGGAAGATAGTGCTGTGCTGCTGAAACCCCAAGTCTCTGCCCACCCCAACTCAAGCCCCACCTCCACGTCTAGTTTTTTGTCTGGGTTGCAATGAGGGGAATGAGGCTGGAAGCAGGGAGGTTAGCCTAACCTTCTGTGACTTGTCAACTCAGGTCCCAGGAGAGCTGGGAGACAGTAGGCTGAGGGTCAGAGCTCTGGATTTGTGGGGGGTACTGTGTTCAAAAGGGTGAGTCAGGGAGGTTTGCCAAGATAGATCTGCCAGCAGACAGACAGATAGACACACACACTGGAGACTCTTGAGGGGGGTGGAGAAGGGATTGAGGACTTGATCTGGTGTGCCGGTCCCATTGGAGCCTGCTGACTGGGCCCAACTCTGTGCCCCTCCAGGCCGCCCTGGCCGAGAGCAGCTTCCCCCTCCTCAACAGTCCTGGCATGCTGAACCCGGGCTCCACCAGCAGCCTCCTGCCCCTCAGCCACGAGGATGTGGGCGCCCCCGTGGAGCTGCTGTCCAGCAATGGCAGCAGCAGCCCCCCTCGCCTCTCCCCACCGCAGTATGGGTGAGCACACCCGCCCTCATCCCTAAGGGCCCCTCAGACATCCCAGAAGATGGCCCCATGTTGTCACTCCCACCATACCTCCTCCCAGGACTGGGGCCATGCCCCTCCTTTCTCTCTCAACACTCCCTCCCCACTTCCTCCTCCAATTCCCCATTCCCTTCCCCTCCCCACCTCCTGCTCCTCTTTCACTCAGTCCTCTCACCATCTCTCCCTTCCCATGTCCTTTCCTCTCCTTCCTCTCTTTTTATTCCCTCTCTCCTCCTTTCTTCTTCTCTTTCCTTCTCCTTCCCCCCCCCCCCTTCTCCTGGTGGCCCCTTCTTCTCTCCTCCCACCCTTTATCCTAGCACTCCTTCCCAGCCACTCTGGCCCTCTCTCCTGTTTCTTCCATGAGACCCCTGGGGGGAGACCAGACCTAAAATGTCAGGCCCCAGGGACTCTGAGTGATGGGGTCCTGGAAGACTGGCAGTCCTGGGCTGTGGATACCCCCATGGTGCCCCCAGCCTTACCAAGTGGGTTTTCCAGGGTGGTCAGGGACAGGCACTGTCAGTACCCACCTCGTCCCTTCTGCCACAGCCACCAGGTGCAGGTGAAAGAGGAGCCAGCAGAGGCTGAGGAGGATGGGCGACCCAGGCCCCCCCTGGTTCCCCCCAATCCCAACACCACTGGGCCTGTGGAAGACAGGGACCTGGAGGAGGAGCTGCCGGGAGAGGAACTGTCCTAAGGGCCTCAAGGGGCAGGCAGGGCAGGGGTGAGACCCTCCCTCCCAGAACCCAGGCTCCACCTACCCCCACTCCACAGCCCCTCCCAACCCTCAAGGCACTTCCAGGGCTCAAAGTGGGGTGGGGAGGGGGTGCTCCTGACAGCCGCCCCAGGAGACATAACCCCTGGTCTGGGACCAGTGGAGGGCCTAGACACCTCCTCAGACCCTCCCCCACGTCTGGATACCCCCAACCACCAGCAGCAGCAGGGCTCTCCCCCCCCCCACCAGCTCTCCCCTACATGGCCCCTCAGCGCCAGGGAGACCCGCAGGCGGGGCTGTCACCCCTCCCAGACCCAGGGCCCCCAACCCTCACTTGACTCCGCACCTGGCTCCGGCAGTGTTTTATGGCCAGAGGCCCCACCCCCCCCCCCCCCCACTTCCCTATTCTGTGCTCCCTTCTGCCTTCTTCTCTGGACTGTGAAGAAATAGCTCTACCCCCAACTCTTATGCCACCGCCCTGGCCTGGGGGGCGTGGAGGACTGAAGTTGCAGACCATCCCCAGAAGAAACACGCTATGCCCACCCAAAAGCTGTGGTTGGGGTAGGAACAAAGCTTGTGCCCTGGGTCATGGGAACACCTACCCTTGGTCTCAGGTGGGACCCAGGCTGATGTGGGCCTGTATCCCCATTTTCTGGGTGCTCTCTGGCAATCCCTATGCCAAGGAGCTCAGGAAAAGGCCTGTGCCCACTGGGCATCCGGAAGTGGAGGAACTGAAACAGCTGAGTGACCAGAGGTGGTGTCCAGGCAGCATGAAGCTTCCAGCCTCAACCAGGTCCACATCTTGGGGGAAAGACGAGGCTGAGCCGGGACTTGAGGGCCAGGTGGCATTGAAACAGTGACTGCTGTGATCAAGAGGTCACCCCCCCCCCCAGCCTGCAGGTTCCCCCATTGCAGTCCTTCTCTCGCCCTCCCTCAGCTCCCCTGCCCCACTCCCTCCAGTTAAACGGATGACCAAAGACCTTTCTTAAGCCGGAAGCAGAAACCAAAACTTGTTGTTGGCTTTTTCCTTTGTCACCTCCCGTTCTCCCTGCTTCCCCGTCCCCCACCTCAGCCCCAGGCTAGAAGCCCGCCCTCCACTTAAGTTATTGTTTTAAACCAAAGTTTACAGTGTCTGTTGGTGGCCAAGACCCTCTCCCTCCTGCCCCTCCCGCTCTGAGGACTCGGGGACTCAGCGGAGGCTGAGGGACCTGCTCACCTGCCCTCTGCTCTTGCCCAGCCCAGCGGGGAGGCTGTGGGCAGCTCTCAGTATCTCCCAGAATTCACGTCCCCTCAGGCAGTAGGCACCTGGGCTGCTTCCTGGGGCTTTCCAGATCCCTCTCTAGGACCAAGTCCCCCCATCACGCTGGAAGTGTGGATTCCAGCACTGGAGCTGGAAGCAAAGTGAGACCCTCCACTGACCCCCTATGGGGGACCCCAACTTAGGCCAAGGACTGGGTGTGCTCCTACCCACCACACCCCAGGCCAGGCCCCTTTGCTGAGAAGACACCTTGGATATTTCCCAAGACCCCCCACATACACCCTTCACAAGGCACCCCTCCTGAGAGGCAGGGGACCCGTTGCCCCCATCCCCATGTATTCCCCACCTGTGTTCCGTTTGACCAGCACAGAAATATTAAACATCCTCTATTCACCCGGCCCTGCCTGTGAATAAAGGAAGCCGTCTCTGCTTCGGGAGCCTCGGGTAGGTGGGTGGGGAAGTGGGCACCAGCTGGACCATGAGGGCCACTGCAGGGCTGCCGGCTACCAGCACATGACTGCGGCTGGGTGGACAGCATAGGGCAGTGATTCATGCTCCAGGGCACCACTGGCTTACAGAATAGGGCCTTTCGCCCCTCTCTCCCTGCTCCCCCAGCCCCACACTTTGTGGTGCGATCTCTGTCCTGATTTTTCCCTTTCCCTGGTGCTGGTGCAGCACTGTTAAGATAAGCACAGTAGAATAAGGTTGGCAGCTCAAAACCTCCAGCTGTTCCTGGGAAACTGTACACAGGGTCTCTGAGGCAGAACCGACTGGGTGGCACTGAACCACAGCAGTTCTTTCACGGGGTTCAGGGTGTTTTCAGCCTTGGATTGGGTTGCTTGCAGGCATACAGAGGATAACTGCTGCAGGCGAAGCCGCCTTTCCATAGCCACCACCCTTGGAGGCATCAGCTGTTCACCCCGTTCCAGTTCCCAGTGGGGAGAAGGCTTGGGTCCATGGTGCAGGCCCTCATGGGGGTGCCTGGACAGGTGGGCACACATGCACACTTAGGGGGTGGCATTGTGGTAGGGAACCTGGATGCACACCTGCCATGTGACACATGTATGCAATGACAGTTGTACTGGAACAGGAAAAGGAGTGATTCACACTGTGCAAAGGGGACCCTGGGCAGCCAGGAGAGGGCAGGAAAGGGGAGCCATACCTGACACCACACCAGCCCACAGGCCTCAGTCCAGGTCAAATACTGACTTTCCAGCCCACCCCTTACAACAGGGCAATTCTCTCCGTGCTGCTCAGACCCCAGTGTCTGTTCCAAAGCCTCCCCTGCCTTTTCTACCAGCTTCCCTCCTTCCCCACCAGGCTTCTCCCCAACACCAATTCTTCGGAGCAGGAGTTGGGGGGGAGAGAGTGAGAGAGAGAGTGAGTGACAACTGGGGGAAGTTGGAGCAGGAAAGAGTTGGATCTGAGCCTGCCTTTCCTACACCTATCCACCTGCCCCCCTCTTTTCACTTACCCCATACACTCTACCGAAATACTCTGCACACTTGAGTAAGAGGCTGGTGTAAATTCCTTGTCCCCACTTAGGGCAGCTTGGGAGGGGTCAGGTCAGGGAACCCCCACCTTGCTGGGCTTGCCCCCCAGACACTGTATAAAGAAGTAGCTCTGCTGTGTGTATTGTAACCTGGCCCTCAGCAGAGGCTGCCGGCACCTGTAAGGTAGAACTGTTGTTATGTGCTGTGGAGTCGGTTCTGACTCATAGCGACCCTGTATAGGGTTTCCGAGGCTGTAAATCTTTACGGGAGCAGAAAGCCTCCTTAAGGTAGAACTAGCTGCATGTAAATTGGAAGCGGGCATTCTCAACAATGTAATAAAATACCCATGATTTTGCTGTGAACGCTTCCCCTCCACCTCCCCCCTTTTCCCTTCTGGGGACCCACAAGCCCCCAGAAAATCCAGAGGTGCTGGCTGCCCTGCCTCCGTATTTCACTACTGGAAGAAGAGGGTCCTTTCTAGAGGCTGACCCCAGGGGCAGAGACTCTAAAAGGACAAGACTATACCCAGCCTCACTCTCAGGGACTGTTCTTCCAACAGCCTTACTTCAGTTTCTCCTGCTTCAACTAGAGTCTTTTCTTTTAACCCACAGGGATATAGCAAATGTCTGGTCAGTTCATTTGGAAATGGGGTGAATATCTATCTCAGGCATTGGCAGAAGAGAGATTCTTGCAATCTAAGGAACAAGGGGCTGCTGTGGACCACCACCCTCTGGGTGCATCAGACTTACAACTCAATAATAAACTTATTTATATGACTGATCTGACAGATTCCACCTGGGGTACCTCCCTTCACCCACTGTCACCTTTTAAATAGAGCCAGTTCTCCCCCACTCTCAGCCATCAGAAAGTTCTGCCTGCTATCTAGCCTTTCTCCTTAACTATTGTTGTTTGCATCTATTGGGGTAGGTTGATAGCTCTGCCTGACAACTCTTCCTGGTCTGAGTAGTTCTGCCCTGCTGGGAGATGGACGCTATCTTGGAACCTTCTGTCTGTCTGGCAAAGAAGAGACACAAAGGTGGACACTTTGAAGGTGGAATATGCAGCACTCTGGGCTCTGTATCAAGGAGCCTGGGTGGTGCAAATGATTAAGTGCTTAGCTGCTTATCGAATGGCAGTTTGAATTCACCCAGAGGTGACTTGAAAGAAAGGCCTGGAGATCTACTTGTCGCAACCATTGAAAACCCCACGGAGTGCAGTTCTACTCGGACGTATACGGGGTCTCCCTGAGTTGGAATTGACTCTGTAGCAATTGTTTGGTTTTGGGGAGGGTGTTGTGGCTCTGCATCTGGCAGAAATGCTCCCCCTCTCTCCTTCGGAAAGATTTTCCACCTGTCTTAACGCACCAGCTTTGCCCAAAACATCATTATTGGCCAGCAGAGGGCGCTATAGACAAAGCTGACCTCCTGGACAAACAACTCATCAAAGTGGAGGGCATAGTAGGGTTAGGAGTGTGGGGATGGAGGATCTCACTTTCTGTGAGAAGAACCCCACAACCCTATGTCCCAGAGAGCAGCCCCAGGCCTGGGTCAGAAAAGGGGTCTTCTGTTGTTTGGGACTTCCCAGACCCTCCAACTCTTGATCAATCGTAAGTAGAAATTGGTGAAGGCAAGATGAGAGGTCTGGAGGAAAGACATCTCTGGAGACTAGCACACCAAGCACAAGGAAGGACTCCATAAGTACTTTTCATAGTGATGATACTCGCTAACATTTAACAAAGGAGCATGGTTACTCCATACGACAAGCACTGGACTGCAGGCCACAAGATTCGTGGTTTGAGCATGCCAACAGCTCTACAGGAGAAAGATGAGGCTTTCTGTTCCCGCAAAGATTTAAAAAGCCTCAGAAACTCTACACAGGGTCTCTATAAATTGAAACTGACTCAAAGGTATTTTAATCCACAAAACAACTCTGAGTTAGATCCTATTACTTATCCCCATTTTACAGATGAGGAAACCAAGGCACAGAGGACCAAAGAGGTCAACTGAGACAAAGCATTAAGAATGAAAGGTCTGGTTTACAGTGGGGGAAAGGAAGGTGAGAGGCTCTAAGGTGTAGTCCCAGCTTCAGAGTGATACTAGTTACTCTCCCCCGCCCCCGCCATTTTGAAGACTTCCAATAAGGAAACTGAGGCACAGACTGTCTCCGATTCAGTAATTTGACACTCGCCTGAATTCTCTAGCTGCCATTCTTTAAACAGAATGTTTGGAATA